AGACCTGGAGGACATCTGGAGTCTTCTGGGTTGCGGCGGCTCCTTTTCGCAGAAATTTGCTTGCCTAAAGTAATGAATGAGCCCATTTTCACTTTGACTGTGGCCTGCAGTCTACGAGAGACGTTAGGAGCAATTTGTAGTCAACGTGCAGGTCTGTTCCATCTAAAATATTATCAATGAGCTTGTCAACCCGAGCCTTAACCTTCTTTGTTATTTTCATCTGCTCCTCTCTCAGATGTCTCTCCTCGTACCCATAACCTCTGAAGACTAGCAACAGGATGTCATACACCTGTTTTGCTCAAGGCTGGGACTTGGAGCCCTGCGCGATATTGTGTAGGCATTGGCTCGCTTGCTGCTTTGCTCAACGTATATGTCAGAATGTCAGATGATAGTTGTTGTATCTGCAGCTGTTGCATGAGCAGAGTGCCAGGGGCACAACTTTCCTGCAGTGAGCTTTAATTTGCTCTCCCCTCCCTGAAGAGCTCCCGCGCTTCACCTTGCTGCTGCTGCTGCAGCTGGAGGAGAGCTCAGCCCACGTGCAGCTGAGGCCGCAGGATGGCAGGCAGGCAGGCAGGCAGGCAGCGAGGCTCAGCGACGGCCAGGGTAAAACTTCGTGCGGGCTGAAGGTGCTGCAGACTGCTATTTGCATCTTTGCTCAATGAGGCATTTTGCTAATTGTTTGCAGGAAGGTATTGTAAACACTGAGGGATTTATATTTGTGCGAGTCAATCTGTAGTATATTTGGATGCTGTTCCAAGAGAGCTACTTGTAGCCTAAATAAGCCATAACCTGCCAAGATATTCATGAGAGATCTGACTAGGTTTTTGACTGCTCTCAGAATTAGGTTGACAATCAAAACAGATGTAGAATGAGACTGCAACTGGATTGCCAAAGGCAAAAAACTCCTGTCAAATTCTTTAAAGGAGCAAGGTGATAAACCGCTGTAATACATGGGAATAGTGGACATTAGTAACTAGACAAGGACACATATGTCCACCTTCGGATTTGTTCGGGACTGTGGATTTGTTTTACAAATTAGGTAGCAAGGGCATTGGAAAAAATGCTTTAAAATAGACAGTCAGTGAAACTTTAAAAAGACGTAGTATAACTGCATGAATATTACAAGATGTTTCTCAGTTGTTTTTTTTTTAAAATACGTGCTCTTGCAGAACTGCTGCATTTCCAAGTGACATAATGGGATAGATCATCTGTAATTTAAAAGAAGAAAGCAATAGAGAGTTTGATTAAAAAGTAAGATAATTCTGTATTACTGGATATTGCCTTGGTTACATCTGTTATTCAAATAGACATAAGGCATTTTGTCTTTCACTTGAAATGTTAACTAAATCAGGGCTAAATATATAAAACGGGGCTTCATCTTTAATAAGGAGGACAGAAGCAGTGGCCTACCGTGTACATCTGTATCTTGTCTAAGAGTTGCAACTCATAATTCCTGCATCTAGGTCTTCATAACCGACAGAAAAGGAGAGGTTTTTGTGGGATGAAGCACAAGCGTGAAAGACGCTGGTGGGAGAAAAAAACGACAACTGGATTCCAGCTGCCTGCTGGGCACATCACTGGCTGAAAGGACACCTCTGGATGTACAGACGCATCAGCATCTAAGGTCGCTGTACGGTAGGTCTTCGTGGTGTTTCAGGATAAGGATGACTGACAAATGTTTAATGAAACCTTTGCTTAGGGGAAATGCTGATTCATTCAAAAGGGAACGGTTCACAGACAAGGCTTTGTTTCAATGAATATCATAATTTGAAAAAGAGTAGAAAAACAAGTCATAATAGTTTTCAAGAATGTTTTACTAATTAATAATTTTTTTAAAATTACCTTTGTTTTTGGAATGTAGCTTGTAGGTGTTTTTCAAAAAGACAAACATTTTGGAATTATAGAGCTTCAATAATATTTTAACCTCAGATTTTTTTTTAAGGATTATTACTGTGCAGAAGGCTGCTTGCCTTATTTTTTGTCTTCAACAGCTGCATGCGTGTAAGAATGGTAAAAGAAGTATGCTCCTGTCCCCCCAAACCTACTTTCTTAATACTGCCACCCTCCCAAACTTTTCTGTATAGAAGGTAAAAATATTCAAAACACACCTTGCATCGGCTGGCTCTGCGTGGGACGTGCACGGCAGGTAGCATTCGCCTGCCCTGCAGCTCCGGGAGGGGGGTCCTGCAAGGGCTCTGCGTGGTCAGGAACCAGCGCTGCGTTGTCTTCATCAGATTGCTGGCTACTGCACACAAGCCAGAGAGCCAGAGTGTCTGGGAACATGCCTGCTGCGAAGCTGGGCTGCTAGCCTGTGCCTAGCAAGTTGGCTTGATGGTCACTTGGCACACGTGGCCCATGGCACCGAATTCAACAGCGCTGCGCAGTTGAGCGTTAGAGGACCTGGTCCCTGCTGGCAAAATCACTCTCCCTGCTCCATCTATGAAGATGGATTTGTCCAAGTGGAGCGTCAGGTCTTCAAGCCCAAAAATAAGCTGGAAATGTGAGCTCAGGCATCCCTGACATCCTGGCCAAGTCCTCCCCTGTAGGGGCAGGACATGCTTGGTCCCGTGGGGACCTCAGAGCACCTCTGGGCTTGCAGAGCACAGAAGCCCCCAGGACAAAACGTCCTTGACATTTCTTTTGGCTTGGCTCCCCTTTCTCTTCTTTCCAGGAGGATGCCCTCCCTACATTAATACTTCCATAACCTTTTTAATTAAAATTAAATCTATTTTTGATACCTCACCACCAGATCCAACACTGTAATCCCAACTGAAGGACAGATTCCCTCCACAGCAGTGTGAGGAAATGTTATTTCTTGCACTGTATTTCCAATCAAGTTAGGCAACATTTACTTTTTTTTTTTTTTTTTTTCTTGCTCAGTATTCAGGGCTTTCATATCCTGGTTAGATCTTGATAGGAAAATATAAAAACATGTCAAGAGAGTGGTTCAGTTACAAATGGAGTGCAAAAATTATTTTGGAGAAAGCCCATTTGTGTGTGATTTCTAGCCTAATTCTGCAAACCCTGGTGGTTTGGAGAGTTTAGCATCCAGAGGTTTGGGTACTTGCCCAAACTAACCCTAAAATGCAAACCTTTGGAAGCTTGCCTTTCAGTTCAGTGTGTGATATAAATAGCTCTGCTAGGAACAAACAAAGGAGGTATTGCATCGAGCAGCCAAGAGAGACTACATGAAACACTTGATCGGGCCGTGTTTTGGTATCCCAGGCTGCGCTCCGTCTTCTGCCTTAGCAACGCTGCAAGTTGGAGACGCGCTGCTACTTTTTCCTGATATTAATGCAGTTGTGTCTGGGTGGCACAAGGCAGTGAGTCTTTAGCACTTTTACCTTTCCCAGGTTCTGTGAAGTGGGGGCTCACTACTCACCCCCCAAAAAAAGAAATTTAAAAAAATACTCAGTAAAGTCCTTCTCATGGTGGTTTTGGTGGTTTTCTTGTAGAGCTGCAGTCTCAGATGATGGAGTACCACGATGTTCAGTCTTGCAAGGACCAGAGAGGAAGGGTTCAGACCTTGCCCCTGCACCCCCGTTCAGGTGAAATGAGATTTGCTGAGTGAGAGCAAAGAGAGTAATGCATCTTCTTCAACATTTCACACCATTTTTTTTTCTTAGACTGGTTCTTGGGATTGCCTGAATTGGTAAATATATCTGTATCTGCATACACATGTTCAGCCTGGAACTGTTTGAGAAGTTAAAAGCCATTGAATATGTGGTTTTGCTATGGTACCCTTAGTACACATTTGGGGTATTTTGGTATACATTTGGGTATAACTTTGGGTATTTCGTTCTTCTAAAAGCCAGATCTTTACGTGAGAAAGCAATGTTAAGGATGTAAGTGGAAAAAAAGGAGCAAACACTAATTTGCAATTGAAAGGCAGAACTTCCAGGGAAGCCAAGCAAAATCTCATAGCCCCAGTGAAACCGCAGAGCATCCTCGCAGTTCAGCTGACATCCAGATATTTATGGGAGGTGTAAGAAGAATCAGGCCACTTCATCTGCATCACCTTTCTCATGTTCTCCCTTTCTTGGTGGCTGCTCCTCTTTGATGACAATTTGCTGTAAAATTGCCACTCAGCCAGACCTTTTTTCTCTCGTCTGCCTTCCCTGACCCCCGTTCTTTCCATTTGGCAGAGCCGAGCAGCCAGAGCCCTAAATCACCCTGCCTGCAGTAGGCTGCGGCGCATCGCCTCTCCCCAGCTTCCAGCTGGCGGCTGCTCTCAACTCCTGTTTTTCTTATTCCTGCAGAGACAGTGCATTCTCACGCTGTCCAAAAGCGAAGGGCTGGGCTACTAATAGAGACCGTTGATGAAGGGCGTAAGGGCTTTTCCATAACTCTCTATTACTAATCAATGAGCATGTTTGACATCTCGGCAGCACAGCGTTTGAGAATAGCTGTCAATAGTGCTTTCTCATGCTGAAAGAAAATGGGAAAATGTAATACTGGCATTACATCATTGACGGTAGCTGGTTATTGATGTCATCGTTCCTGTCACTCACCTGATATATACAGCCCGCGGTGACTTACCTCCAATCTATAGAGGTATGGATTCGAAAATAAACATCAATAACTTTAAAATCACTGTACAATTGAGATGATGCTAACTCAAAGTGGTGATGAATCTTGGATTTTCTCTTGCCTATTTCTATATTTCACTCTCATAAAGGGTATGCATGGTCAGTTGCCTGTGCCATCTGAGATATATTAGATATTCAGATTACAATGAGGGTCTGAACAACTGGTGCCTTATCCGCAAACTGTCTTATGGATGAATCTGTATATCACGTCTGCATAATTATGTCTGTAATCATATGTTGTCTATTTACTGCAATGAAATTCTGATACCCCATTGCATCAATCTCAACTATCATGCAGAACAGCTTTTAGGAGATACTTTTGCCTTGTAATCCTTTATTCTACGTATGCGCACCATTTGATCTTAAAACTGAGAAAAAGAAAGGTGGACGATGTCCCTTTTCTTTTCTTAGAGGCTGACTCCTGGAGGTCTGACTTCCAGCGAGCAGCGAGCGCGAGCGTCAGCACCTGTGTCCCGACGCCAGACAGCTGGCACGCTCTCTGCGTGCCACGGCGTGCCATCTGTGCCAGGCGTCACGTGCCAGTTACGTGACTTGGGGGAAATCAGGAGGAAGAAAGTAAGTTCATACCATGACAGAGGTGCGTTTGTTTTTGTGCAGCCCTACGATGTGCGCTGAAATCTGCTATGGGTTTGGTCTTTTCCTCTCTTTCACCACTCTCTTGCTGAAGCAGTGCTGGTCATGCAAGCCTGATGAATTCACTACAGTCATTTTGGGCTAATTTAAGCTCAGGAGGTGCAGGGGGCATTAAGCACAAAGGGGATTTTGTTACTGTAGAGTCTATATGGAATTGTTTGGGGGATTGAAAGCATCAGATATTTTTCTAATACATAAAGAGATTATTTTTCTATAGAAGCTGTATTCCACCAAAGAAAGAGACCATTCACAAATAAAATGTTCCCTTACATTGCATGGGAGAAAGAGCTCAGCAACCCCCTGTAAAAGGAAGAGGACTCCCCCCATCTCCACCAAGCTGCCAGTCTGCCAGGTCAAAGCCTATGGAGGGGTTTTCTGGTCCAAGCTGGAGCCCTGGGAGCTCCTCGTTGCTGCCTGGCTTTGCCATGGCCCGAAGTGCTGGTAGAGGATGATGTCTGCTCTTAGAAGTGTGTTACATGACAGGCCACAGTCACCACTTATGGGATGCTATTACTTCTGCAAGGGTGGAGCTTACTGATGATGAGGAGACACCACTGAGTCTTCAGTCCCCTCCGTGGCTATGTGCCGTGCCCCAAGATGACTCGCTTTCTCAGGGGCAGAAGCTCTCTGGCACAGTCCAAAGACAGGAAAAATACACTTTTCTTTCCACTCTTTTCTGTGCCTTTCATTCAGGTACAGTGGGTCACGGCTGTGTGGCACCAGAAGGACGTTGTGGAGCTGTTCCCGGGCCCGTATGGCAAATGCTATGGCTGTCAGTCCCCTCGGGGGCGGAGGGAAAAGAGCTCCAAACAAATGCTTCTTCGTAGGTGCAATGCACATAAGTGCATTTTTGGATCATAGTCCAAGTCTGCATCCTTTGTGAGCTGGTGAATGTGCCAGGATGACTCGCTGTTTCTCAGTCCAGCACTTCTCCGTTGAGCAGAGACAGAGTTGGGAGCATTGCACGTCAAAGAGAGGGGAATTAGTGAATGAGAAAACCTTGACATTTTCACAATTTAGGCATGTTACTTTTATTTAAGGTCCTTTCGTGGAAAGGGTGCAGAACCCTTAGTGAATAGACCTGTTAATGCCTCTTGCTTTTTGTGTTTATATGTGCCAGTTCTAATAATTGTCACGTCGACCTAAGTGAGAAACATCCAGACACGTTTATGGAAGAAGCCGTAGGGCTTTAGTTCAAGTGACTTCTGTTACTCCTGGGTGGGGAAGAGGGAAGGGCAATAAACAACAGAAATTTGTTGGTTTCTCAGCAGCAAGATTTATCACGTGTAAAAATGCAGGACTTTGGAAGCCATTAATTATACATAAAGTCAATAACCAATCTTAATAGAACTTAAAGTGACAAAAGCGATGACATTTAAGAAATAAGCTTCCCCATACTGCGAGTCCATGACCATCAGGGAAAGGAAAAAGACTCAAAACATGCTCTGGAAATGCAGTAATTGCCATTGCCATTTTCTGATTTCTTCAGAGAAAACTGCTTTCCATGTAAGTATATTAGGAGAGGGGGAAATTCTGGATCATACAGGTCACGTCTGTGTCTGGGATAACCCGCCCTGCCAGTTAGCAGTAAACAGAGGAATTTGGGGGAAAAAGTATGGAAATTTGCTCTTTTATGATATCAGCTAAGTTTTTAAAACATAAAAAAGTGCATGTTGTATCTGCAGTTTTATTTTCCCCCCAAATAAATCAAGCAGAATCATAGAGGATAGCTAGAAAAATAATAGTGCTAATAGCAATAGTAATACTGGTAATAGTAATAAATTCACTGCACTGCTGCTGATTTCCAGAGACTGGAATCTGATCAAATCTGACAATAATTAACGCATCTGAGTTTAGACTTGAATTTTGTGTTAGTAAAATTTATAAGAAGTATATGTATCCATGAAAATCCAAGCTTTCAAAGAAGTTCTAGTGCCCAATTAGACATTTATTCTAACATGACAATTAATCCTATGCAAGTTGAGAAGGTCTGCTATGAAATCATCATTAATTTATACTCCTGCAGCACAGTTTATCTCATTTATGTTGTACCTTATTTTTTCATAGGAGATCAAGAACCAATTCTTGGCCATTATGCTTGATGGAAACCATTTGAAATGAGCCAGACTAGTGAGAAAAGCAAGGCCCACACATGAATAAGAGTTGCCAGATTCTGAACATTTTTTCAGCTGCCTAATTGAGGAAATATTTTTTGCTCTTTGTTTCGAGGGGTGGGTTGGTTTGTTTGCTTGTTTCCTCAGGAGCAGGGAATTTTTGTCGGTTCTCGCCCTTGTTGCAGTTTGCAGGAGCAGGCGTTGGGGCTGTTAGCAAGTGACGTGCCTGTGAATATAAAAGAGCACTACATCTTTGGAGCTGTTTCATGGTATTCCCCAGCATACTTGTTTGTTATAATTTGAAAGAAGCTATTGAACTGAAAGGAGGGACAAACAATCTACAGGCGGACAAAGCCAGTGAGAGCTAGGAGCATCCAAATTTCCATGAAACGCTCTTGTTTCAATTCATATTTAAATGGGCTCCTAAGCAGCTGGACAACCTTTCTGTGGCCGGCCACAGCTGATAGTTTTAGCCAACTAGAAATCACATGCAATTTGCTGAGAGCAGATGAAAGGTGTGTATTTTAGTCTTTTTAATGTAAGAGAATAAACGCTAAACTAACACGGAATGTCAAGATGTTGGGCAGAGTTTAAGCGCAATAGAGCAGATTCTCAGTACTGTGAATTGGCATAATTTTCTTTGAAGTCATTCAGATTATACTGATTTACAACAACCAAAGATCAAGCCAAATATGGTTGTTTCTGTAACTAATTTTGGTGCCCTTCTGTTTAATGATTCTTTGAGGGAAATTATTATTTCTTACAAATGTGCCTAGGCAACAATGACTCTATCATCTAATCATTTAATTTTTGAAGGGCCAATTCCTACAGCCCTTATTAATTTAAAACTCATGTGGTAGACATCTGGAGAAAGAGAAGGCCTGCATCAAAACTGCCTTTTGCATATCCCATCCTGATCTCAGGCTACCTCAGTCTTTGGCAGATCCTCATTGCAAGGGAAAGTAGCCCAAATTTTCCCTAACTTGCATCTTGCATCTCTCTAACTGAGCCACTTTGGACCACGAAGGTGCCTTTGCAGTCCCCTCTCCCCACTACCCTGTCTACTCAAGGTGCCAGAGGTGATGTACGGGCTCTACACCTCCCAAATAACCCTTTATCCTGGGGTTGGCTCTTCCAGGGGCTGTGCCGACAGCTTTGAGCACATTTTGTGCAGAATCATCCCATGCAGAGCATCCTTTATGCAGAGAGAAACAGATTCCTCAGGCTCCAAAAGAAGTTTTTCCATAGTACAAAGAGGCGTTGGCTATAATTTATCAAGTGGTGTTTCTGCAGGTTTACTGGGAGTTGTTGTTATTGTTTGCTTTGACTATGGCTGAATGTGCTAGGTCCTTTACAGGCGTAACTTAATTATTCTTTCCCCTTGAGTCTTTGCACAGTAGCCGCATTTGTAAAGAAAAATATCAGGAATTGCTCAGAACTTTTAAAAATAACTTCTCACAGGAGCTGAGTCAGATTAAAAATGCAATTTTGTTGCATGACATTCTTTACTGTATTCCATTGTCATTTTGTTTTAAGCAAGTGTGCATTATTGGCTATAGAAAGCAAGCAGGGCTTGGTTGATTTTCCTTCCCCCTAACTAGATCTTTCTTAAACCTTCTCTTCCCCATTTGAGGTTCTTTTTGTGTCACACTAGCAGAAGTGTGTGCATTTATGGGGCAGGAGATTAGGACTTCGCTCTGCTTTTTGTTCAGCTCAGAGGATGGGATGTCTGATTATCAGACATTCACTCTAAATCTTTTCCTGACAAATCTTTTACTGACAAACTTTATTTTCTCTACTTCCTTTTTACTAGTTATGATACTAATAGACTTAAGAGTTCTATAAGCATTGACTGAGAAAAAATTTCCTCTGTTAATTTTGAGGTTTAGCCGTCACATTTATAAATCTGTGATGAGCAGAACAGTCTAAAGTAACTATTCTTCAATTTATTGCTTGAAGATATAAAATTAGATAAATGAGCCATTACCTTCCACTTACATAAGAATGTGTTTATGTAACCGAGTCGATACAATGCTGGTGCTCCTTGGCTGGCGATCGGGCTCAACGGCAAATATTCAGTATTGTTGGATCGTTACCCCAAATTTCTTGCTTCTGGAGCTTTGAGAGAAATCTGAGTAGCTGTTTCATCCGATAAGGGATATTTCTCCAGTAGGAGCACAACAAAGCCGGCACCTACTCCTGGAAGCTGCTGAACATGGTAGGCAGAATGGAGCTATGGGGAAAAAAAGAAAAAAACTCAGCTTGTGCCTTGGAGAGCAGAATTCGGCTCCTCCAGCAGCAGTAGTTACATGGACCCTGATGGCTACAGCTGCTTCGGGTTGCAAATATTTTATTTTGATTTATGAAGTAAATCGAAGTAGGATTGAAGTGGCAAGCAGTCTCTCTACTAACTTCTGATGAGGTTAAAATTCAGTATCTGAAGTTCATTTTTATTAATAAGTAGTCTTCTGGCCAGGCAAATATCTGTAGAGAAAAATAAAATAAAAAAAAAACCAACCCAGAATGGCAGAGGAAAAAAAAAAAAAAAAAAGATACAAAAGCCCTTGCAAGACGATTAACAACTTTGCAACATTAATGATACGAAATTTATCTTCCCTCAGTGTTTTTTTGTCTCAGGATATGTGATTTCCGAAGCAAAAAATCAGTAAAAGCAACCTTTGGCTTCCACAGTTTTCCAAAGTCTTCCATGGAGCAAAGTGGTTACAGGGAATGTGTACTGAATTTATCCTTTAATTTGGTTTTACACAGGTAAAACCTTGAGTGAGTGTTCTCAGCTTATGAAAATTGGACCAAATTGCTGAATGGAAAATGGAACTCTTCATGCACTTTTGTCTTTAATAAATAAAAATCATTACCTAAGGGAGGAAGCAATCTGGATTTGGTGCAAATAATTAAATAAAATAGAGAAATTACTAAGGAAAGCATTACTTTTTCTTTAAAAAGGCAAATGGAAAACAAATGTCTGAGAAAGGCAGTAAGCTTGCTTAGTATTTTATATTCAAATACTTCTTAGGTTTATACTGAAGAAACATAACATATTTACTGTCTTTCCATCATAAGTGGTTTCAAGATGGAAATAATGTCACTGAAATCAGCATAATTTGTCGTAGAGAGCTACAGGAAATACTGCACTGAATTCCAGGAGTTGTCATTAAAAGGCATGTTTGTTTAATTTTGAACATCACCAAAAAGTCGCCATTAGACTGGGGTTCGTCCAAATCTGAGCTGAGGGCAGCCATCAATACTACAGGAACTTGTCAGTAATTAACATGGGACCACCCAAATACATTACTTCCCCCATAAAATAAATTGCTGTGCTTTCACTGGTGTCCCTGGTGCCAAGACAATTTCTACCAGCTGAAGGTCTGACCTGTCGAAAAACTCTCTGCTAAGCCTCTGACTTCAATGAGCTTGTAAAAAAGACAGTCAGTGTTGGCATCTGAATTTTTACATTAGAAGGAATATGGAGAAGATGTCATATGGCATCAAGCACATTTTTTCTGCTTTTCTTTTGTTCTGTCTCTCACGGTATTTCAGATGCCCTTGCAACAGCGTCTCAGCTGCATCTGACCGGACAATAACTCATGCCAGGTGACCTTATCCAAACAGGTGGTCAAAATTGCAAGGAACTGTATTTTTTTCATAATGGATGTTTGACTTAAATCTTGCAAAGAAACCTTCTGAAGATAGACTAGCGAAGTATTCATTTAAAAGTGGGAACACTCC